TATTTTATTAGTAGTATTGTTTGGCTGCTGGGAATCAAACTTATGGCTTCCCACATGCTCAGCAAGTGCCCCATCTCTTTAGGTACACCCTACCCCTTTCAGTGCCGGCCCGCATCTTTCCTCTCCCCTCCTCCTTTTTCTTTCTTCCTTTTTTTCATCACCTTTTCTTATTTTCTACTTTCTTTCCTAAGTTTTGCACATCCGTACCCTGAAATATATGATGGGTTAAATATGTGTATATACTTCTTGCTTTCTCCTTCTCTCCCTCCCACCCCCTCTCTCTATATGTCATTTATTTTAATGTGTTTCTTAATGGATCTGTTTGAGACAGAGCAATACAATTTAGTGTGTTTACTCTGCAAGTTCAGCTTACTTGCTTTAGTTCTCTGGAAGGGTGTGACATGAAAAGATTGCGGTTGGGCCACATGGTCCATGCTGGACTGTGTTTTTGTGAATGGAGGCAGAAATCCAGTTCTGTCTGCTTGTCTTGAGGAAATGCTGAGGAGATCAGCTGTCTCATTCACGGGTAGAAAGAATGAGTCATACATCTTCTGCCTTGTTTGGCTCCAGGTCATTGTTACAGTGGATAGAACTGGTTTTAATTAAATATTAACCCTTTAATACTTGACATTTGTTTCGTTTGTAATTTTCCCACTCCTTCCGCCCCCCCAACCCCCCCTCCCCCGTCCCGGCTTTAATAGAAAACTCATCAGACAGCTGTTTGCAAGAATAAAAGGGTTTTACTTGCCTGCAGCTAAATCTGAAAAAAATTTAAATGTTCACCGTTTCTTAAGTAATGAATATTGTTTTATTTAAAAGTTGAAAATCGGCATAAAGTAAAAGCAAGCTGTATTTAAAACTGCTTTCCCCCAAGGCACTGAGTTTAAGGACTGACAGTAAAGTTGGCAAATGGAGCATTGATTCTGTGACATTTTGGTTGTGATTAATACTTTTATGAATTTCTTTGTCACAGTGCTGCTATAGCCTAGGAGGAGAGAGTATTAAAGGGCAGCTTAGGCTAGGAAGCTAGATAAAACCAAAAGCTGGGAGTGTGGCTGCTGTCCTTTTAAAACAAACATTCAGAGACTCAATTGCAACTGGCCTATTAATGGGAAATGACCTGATAGAGTTGTTTCAGCTATTACCAATAAAATCTACATGCTCAGGGTTCTTGAAAGCCTTTTACTGCTCTTTGGTACATATTTCCTCCCCTTCTCCATTCTTCTTGTTCTCCCTCGTCTTTTACTGCTTTGTATAGAGAAACATTTTCACCCCCCAAAGATGAACACTTCAAGCATAGTTTAGACAATAATGTAATAAAAAATCATTTAAAAAATTTAGGTTGACTTATGTGGTTAATTTTCAACTTTGGTTTTAGCATGGCCTGCAACAATATTTCAGGCAGCTGTAGTCTGCTTCTTCATAGAATTTTTGTGAATTAAAGAAAAAATATATGCTACAAGTGTGATGATACTGTGTCATAGTTTCCTTGCCCAAATCCAAGTTGTGTTTTTAGTTAAATGCTTTCCTTTTACTCCAACTTGAAGTTAGAGGTAGACTTAAGCCTTTGTCTATTTAAGTAGTGTGCTGCTTCTTTCAGTTGATTCAGTTTCTTAAGATTAGCTTCTGGGAAAATGTGAGTCATATGTTTTTTGTTAAAATTCTGTAATATGTTCAAGCATAAGTGTGAAGTACTTATTCAGTATGTTAAGGAGTTAGAACAGAAATAGCATCCTTCATCCTTACGCTTTTTACAAATTGTTAGTATGGAGCTATTTTCTCTGTACTTGTGAGGTATACTTTCTAGATTCTTCTGCCCATTAAGTATTTCCCCTGGCCGCATACACAGGTCACCACCCAGCGCACACCACACAGCCTTTCATGCTGTTCCTCATGATCTATTCTGTGGAGCTGCAGCTCTGTCTTACAAAACGACGGAGAAGGTCTGCCTGTGCAAGCGTGTTAAGTCTCCAATAACTCACCACCTGTTTTCAACCATTCCTATAAGCAAGCATTACATTTTCATTAGATTATTGTAAATCATGCTTTATTATTTTATTTTATTTGTCTGCTTTGTGCCACTACACTGGAATGAAGGTTGACTTTAAATTAAAAAAAATGTTTTATTACTTTATGTGTGTGGATTCTTTTGCTGCAAGTATGTCAGTGTACAGTGTGTGTGTCTAGTTCCTGTGGAGATCAGATCCCCTGGACCTGGAACTGCAGATGGTGTGAGCCACCATGTGGGGTGCTAGGTGCTGGGAATTGAACCTGGGTCTTCTGAAAGAACAAGTGGCCTTAAACACTGAACCATCTCTCTAGCCCCAAATGTTGGCTTTTTAAAACCATATTTTGTACCTCAATTGCTATATCTCTTTAGCTGTTTTGGTTTTGGTTTTGGTTATGATGTGTAGCACTGGATGTCCTGTAACTCGCTCTGTAGACCAAGATGGCCTTAAACGCAGAAGCGCACCTGCCTTTGCCTCTCATCTGCTGGGACTAAAGTTGTGTGTCACTACACCTGGTCTGTATCTGTTTAGTTCTTAATTTGGAGGGAAAACTAAAATATGGATATATTTTTTAAAAGTTGAGGATTTAATTATGTATTTGCTGTTATATTAATGTGTTAAAACATTTGTAATTCTTTCAGATGTAAAATCATAAAGTACATTTCTTCATCAATCTGAGAAGAAAGTCAAAAACTATGTTGTCAGTAGCAAAAATACATTGTCAACAGCTAAGAGAAGCCAATGAACCCCCTTTTTTTTCTGCTTCTAGTCATGGTTTTACTTTTGTTATGTTGTTGTTGTTTGTATTTTTGGTTTATTGAGGCAGGGTTTTACTGTGTAGCTCTGGCTGTCCTGGAACTCACTCTGTAAACCAGGCTGGTCTTGAACTCACAGAGACCTGCCTGCCTCTGTCTCCCAAGTGCTGGGATTAAAGTTGTGCACCACCACCACCACCCATCTTGTCTAGTCTTGTTTATTAGAAGTAAAAATATAAAAACACTAAGCTGACTGTGATAATGCTTGTAAGTGCATTTGTGAGTGAGACTTTTTGGGGTGGTGGTGGTAGAGGATTGGAAAGGAGAATGTATCTAATATCCAAGTATCTGGGATTATGCTTAACCTACCCCATTTATTGGTTTCAAAAATCCCCTTATTATTACATTAAGTTGCACTAAGGGGTGTGTGGCAAGTAGCATTTAAAGAAATTAAAGAACTTACCTGTAGGTGACAATTTACCAGTCTATGAGGTAAAATTTGTCTAACTTGAAAGCTGTTATACATAGCATTAAATACTGCTGAAATAAGAAGAAAAACTTGCTTCTAGTATGGGTTGATCAAGTTGGTACCAGTTATGACTAGAAATTACTGTTTTTTGTTTTTTGGGTCTTTTTTTTGGCAATAGGGAATGGTGTATCTTCTGTAAAGTACTGGTATGAGGAAAACCACTAGAGAGCAACTCTGTGATATACATGATATACACATTTTATTTCTAGGCAAGACTATCTTAGGATAGTTATATTCTTGACCAGGGTAGTACATGCTTTACTCATCAAAGTATTTCCATTTACAAAGAATGTGATTAGATAAACATTGAAAAGAAAAACCTGTTGAGTCTGTGTTCTGTTTTTACATGGAATTATATCAGAAAAATCCTTTTTTCTTAACTCACTTATCAGCCAGAAACATTTCAACGGAGTTAAATGTTATTGCTATTGTTGTTACTTGATTCCTGAGACAGAGCCCCAGCTTTCAGTTTAGGCTAGCCTGGAGCTCTCTCTATGTGTCTCAGGCTTGCCTCAGACTATTGGTGAGCCTGCCTCAGCCTTCCAAAAACTGGGATTACACACTCAGCTAAGACCGATTATTTTAATTAACATTCCCCACATAGAATAAGTTCATTCAGAAAAATTTGGTTGACATCTCTTTTAATATGACTTGATCAGATAAGAACTTAAGGTATTATACAATATTAGTAAAGTAATACTAGCTAATGAGATCACATTGGAAGTTAATAAGGCTCATTGCATGTTCACCAAGTTACAATTAACCTGATTTCTGTTTTGTAAGTTTATACAAAAGGTATGCACATCTGTGTGTATTTGAAAACTCACTAATATCCTATAAAATTATAAGTTATTTCGATGTCCACATCAAAGGTAATAAACATTTCAAGGTGAAAGAATGAACTTGTGTTTTAATTGCATCTGAATGTATTGAATTTGCCCAATTAGTCCTTTTCCTTTAATCAAGCTGGAAGTCAATTGACCTTAGGGGCAACAAATGGTGCAAATCTTTCCTCAGTGCTGACTAGCATAACCAGGAAAATATTTTGCATGAAAAGATGACATTTGTTTTATTGTTCATTATTTTTATTACAAATACAATTGTTAAAATATATTGCTTTGTTACTTGTGGCCCAAGTCAATGACTGTTGTCTCATTTTTAAAGCTTTATGGCTTGCATTGAACAAATGTAGGGCAAATGTTTTTAATTGTGGCAGTCTTATTTGCAGGAGACAGAACTTACCCAAAGAAGTCATTTCAAAAACTATGGGGGACTTGTGTGATAGCTGCATATCACTTGAAAAGAACCCTTATAGTTCACCACGATGGTCTGCTTGAGTGCCAGTAGTGAGTGAATGGACATGCCTTCAGGACCGCTCCTGCAAGATGCAATCGTGCAGGATGCAGGAATCCTGTTCCTTTTTATTTGCCGTTTCCTTAACTTGCATCTGGCAGGTGAAATTCAGAGGGATCACACCTGCTAACCCACTATTTCTGACCCACTCATGTTTTCCGGTTACATCAATGGACCTTTTCGTTTCCTTTCCTATGCTGTCAAGACTGTTTTAAAGAGGAGGTTATTGCAAATAATCACAGGTCTGAGCTCCATCAAAATAGGCCTCGATTGATGTGTCTGACTTGATATTCCTTATATCTTGGCAGTTCCTCTCTTAGTTTTTAAACCCCCCTTTTTTTTCTTCTTCTTCAGCTCAGGTACCTGACAATGATGAGCAGTTTGTGCCAGACTATCAGGCTGAAAGTTGTAAGTACAGCATGACTCATCTCTCGTGTTTCCCTTTGTGTGTCTTCTCTCTCTCATTCTTTCTCCTTGGTTGCTTTCCGCTTCTAAGTGTCTGTCTTTGCATTGTGCCAGTGTTTTATTTGGCTTCCAGTCGTGAGGTGTTTTTGTTTGTCAGGCAGTGACATCAGCAGAATCCAGGGGTGTCAAGGAAAGCTGAACTGTTGAGATGCTGGCCGCCTTTGCCATCCCTAGTACATTTCCTTGGAGAGGAAACAGGGTGTGCTGTGCAAATGTGTGAGTGTTCAGTTTTGCCAATGTGTTTACAAGGAAAAGTCTGAATGCTGGTGGCATGCAGAGTGACAACCCATGTGGAAGTAGTTATCCTGTAAGTGGTCAAAAGACCTTGGCTCAGATATTCATTGGTTAACTGTATTACTCTACATTCACAAACTTTCACCTGCTTTGATTTAATTTTTAGCCTCAAGTTTTCAGCTTCCAGGTTGCAGTAGCACAAATGGCAGTAGCCCTTGGCTTCTTACAGCATCCCTTTTGTGTTCCTATCCCTGAGCCTTGCTCCAGGGCCTGTCAGAGTGAAGGGAGAGTGATTCATGGATACTTGCCCTCCCTTAATTGCAGAGTGAGCATTTTGCCTGCACAAACATAGTTGCCCCAGGGTTTACTGCTGATATTTATACTTTGCAATTCTAGCACTAAGTGAAGTTACTGACCCGTGAAGTGACTCCAAAGGAGAAGCATAGTTGCTCTTCATCCCCCAGGGACATGTTCTGATATAGTTGGTAGATTCATGTCTCCATGGAGAGCTGTGGAGCTTGTAATCTAGAAGCTCTTTCCTCATCGTACATACACTTCTATGATAAAGCTTGATTTATAAATTAGTCAAGGCAAGGAATTAACAGTGGCAATAAGAAACTAGAACAATCGTAACAATGCTCTGTCATTAAAACTATTTAGCAGTATAAATTATTTCTAGAATTTTGCTTTTACTCTCTGGCCTGTGACAGGTTACAGAAAACTGAATATGTAGAAAGCGAAAGTGACTATGAATGGAGAACGTTGTCCACAGTAGGAAGCTTGTCTGACGAACTCTTTTTCCTTTCAGTGCCGTTGAAAGCTCTAACCTGTTTTGTGTGTTCAGACTGTTGATGGTGTCAGATGAGTGGATGTCAACAGATACAAGAGATTGTTACTAACTTACACCTCATGAAACCCATATTGTAGACCTTGATCTCCCAAGCACCTATATTACTTCAAGTAGCAGATGTTTGCTGGAAATGTTTGTTTTCAATGTCTGTTATCTTAAACTTCCCAGGAACAAAGGGTAGTTAGAGGGTTCCCAAGAATGAAAGCCACTTAGAAGTCAAAAGGAGAAAAGGTGTAAAAGCGTGACCTCACAGTAGTTTGTTTGCCCTGACAGCTGGTGTTGTACCAGAACCCTCACCAGTTTCCCCTGATGTGACATGCCTCAATGAAACTTCAGTCTTCAGATGACAGATTTCATGCGTAGGGAAAATAATTCAAGTTCCTCACGTTATAGCTTGATTTTTTAAAAGCATTGTAGTAAAGTGCACATAAGACAAATTCCATCTTTTGAAATTATCTCAAATGTAGAGTTCAATGGCACTAAGTACGTTCTGATTGCTGGACTATCATCAAGTTAGTTCAGAATTTTCAATTAGTCAGAAACCCTATACTCGCATCGCAGCAGCTTCTGTCTCTCCAGCCCCTGCCAACATTGCCCTGTCTCCTTAATTTTCATCAAAGAAGAGAGTTTAATGTGCTCATTGGTGTCGGGGTCCAAGTGTTTCACGTAGCCATGAAACATATTTCTGAGATTTCAGCTAGAGACTTTCAAAACTCTCAGAGGGAAAATGGCTCAGGACAACAACTATGCAAGGCCCCTTAAGGCCTGGGAAGGGAACAGTCTTGTTTTCACCATTTCCTTTCCTGTGAAGGTACTTGAATTTTTTTTTTTTTCTACAAGCTCAGCCTGTCCTCTGAGTGAATAAATCAAGTCTCATTGAGTCTTTCCATATCCGAATAAATTGGTGATGATTCCAGTACAGCACCAGCTGTCATTGTAGAGAACAATACCCGAAGGTGACTTTTACTCCTTTTCTTACTCACTGTCTTTATCAGCTTTTCTTCTGGAGTGTCTCATCCCTCATGCCCTCAGTCTCAGCAGTATGGACTTTTTTTTTTTTTCTGCGCCTTTGATTCCTTCTTACCCCACTCACTGTCCATCTATTAAGTTGATGATATGTGGTCAGTGGAACCACAGAAATGAGTTTTTTCTTTCAGTTAAATTTGATTACTTTCATTGGAGACTCATCTGAGTGTTGGTTAGTGTTGTGATCAGCAAGCTCTGAGCAACTACACTCACCATGCAGTTATTTCCGTCTTTGGTCTCGTCTCTTGTGTCTCCTCCACTTTCTCTAATGTGCCACCGGGTTCCTCTGGAGTCACCCTGCACCTTCTACTGTGTGTTGGTGTAAAACACTGTTTAAATCAACATGGAACCCCATAGAAAGTTCACATTAGAAAGACTGATGTTTTTCCAGATTGACAGTTTATTTTTATTTTTGAGATGGGTCTTCTAAGTTTCCAAGCTGGCCTCCAGCTCACTATCATGGATGATTATGGATGATCTCAAACTTCTGATTTTTTTCTTCCTTTCCCAAATGCTGGGATTATATGCATGAGCCACCACACCTGGCTGCAACAAAATGTGTCTCTTTAGTTCTGCTGTCCTTCTAAATGAACATATTGGTGTCCGCTGAAAACCCTTGAATTACCTTCAATTCTCTGCAAAAACCTGCAGTTACTGAGTTGTTCATGCTGCCTCTCAGAAGTGTCTCAGATTTTCGACCTGTTTCATTCCTGTGCCCCTGTGTTCCTGCCCCCTCAGGCTGCTGCCACAGAGGTCCGGAATAGGTTTCAAGGTTAGTTTTCTTGCCTTCGGTCCTTTCTCTTTCTAGCCTGCCCTTTGCATCCACACACAGTTGTCTGGCCTTGTTAATTTTCTCCTCGAACCTCTTGCTGGACAAAGTCCTTAGGCTTGAGCTGTGCAGAAAATTGTTCCATAACCCAGGCCTTGACCTTCTTTTCAACTCAACGTTTTGACTGTTGTGCCTCCAGTATTCCATCCCCATCCAGCTGTCTCTACACCTTAGTCCTTTCCACCTTTCACTTCTTCAAACATGACACACTTTTTATGGCTCACACTGCTTTAGAAGATTTCACTGTGAGGTTTCAGTGGTCCTATTCACACTCACTTCAGACTACATCTTATTTGTCTTTCTTGTTTTTTTTTTTTTTTTTTTTTTTTTTTTTTTTTCCCCTCCGTCTTACGGAGTTACCCGACAGCATCATGTGTCTTGTATCTATTGTATTAGAGAATTTAATAGATTTTTTTGTTTTGTTTTAAGAGACATGGTCTCATTATTTAGTCTGGACTGGCCAAGAACTCAGTATGTAGACCGGACTATTTTCAAACTCAGAGAGTTTGCCTCTGTCATCATACCTGGCCCAGAGATTGTGAATTTCCTAAGAGTGAGGGTCATGTCATGTTCAACATGACTGGCATGTTACAGATGCACTAGAACTAAGACAGTTATGCTAGTCATCTTAATTTTATTTTAACCACTGAATAATGACAGGTTAATGAGACCTTGAAACATTTTTCTTTATAAAAAGAAATGTAAACAAAGGGTAAACATAATTCTAAACTCGAGGTAAGGCATTTTCAAGTTTTAACTGATGTAACAAATATTTTCTCAGCTGATGCTGTCCAGCTAATTTCACTTGGTACTACGGAGAGAATAAGAATGACTTGAAGAAAGGAGTAGCATATCTGGGTTTGGAGTGAAGGAAGGCTTGCTTCAAAAAGAAGCTCTCAGAAACTAGACTGGAGAGGTCTCTGAAGGGCTTTCTGCCTGGGGATGCTTAGTGGGAAAGAAGGATTTTACTTCTAGGAATAGAAAGAAACTCTTCATCCCAAATGAGACCAATCATTTCTACATTTACCCACGATGAACATAGATAATTGTATTTCCTTACAGACTACCACAAAACAAGATATTTCTGTACTTGTCTTTTTTGCTACAGTCCTTTGGTAAAGCAAGGTTAGCCAAATTAACAGCAAAATTTACTATGGCGTATTTAAATACAGATAGAAGGTGACAGAAGAAACACTTCAAAAATGTGAACAGATATAAAACTATAACACTTGGGATTTTCTTAAATTTTATTTTTGAACATTTCTTATTTTTATTGACAAAATATTTGAATTAGAAATATGGAACCCAATGTTACACTCTTGTTGCCAATTAGAAATTTTGATAATTTCTAAATTTTGAAAAAAGGATAGGCATTAAAACAAAAGAAAATAACTTTTAATTAATTCATTCCAAGAAACAATTGGTTTGAACACATTATTTTGTATATTAATATATTTTCATAACTTAGACATGCTATGGAAACACATAATCTCTTTATGATCCACTTTAACTTTAGTAAGGAACTAATAAGGTAGGTGTCTCTTTAGAAAAGGAAGTTCAAAGGGCATTTTGAAATGGAAATGTATGGTTAGCAAGATGTTTCAGTGGATGAAGACACTTGCTGCCCTGTCTGATGACCTGAGTTCTAATTCCAGGATACACATAGTAAAGGAGAGAACTAATTCCAAAAAGGACCTCCACATGCACACACATGTACATACACACCCATACAAAGAGTGAGAGTATCATTTGAAAAATTAAAACTACATAGATGAGCCATTCTGAACTGAATTTTTATGAATAAGCATTTAAAATTATTTCAGTCATATATCAACTCATTCTAAATGTAGTTATATTACAATAGTCTTTTAGAATCTACCCTTCATTTTGTTCATCATTCAGCTATACATTATTTTCCAAGCTAGTTTTTTCTTTTTCTTTAGATTATATTTGTCATGTTCAGGATCACATTTCACATTCTCCCAGTTATTCTGCTGGATGCCC